CGCAGGCACAGAAAGAGAACGTGAACAGTGAAGGAGAAGCCAGCTTGCACTGGATTAGTCCTAATGAGAGTGTGGGGCTGGCTGCGATGCAGCCCACTCTCACTGGAGCAAATCAAGATGTTTGTTTGGTCCCTGGAAGATTAGTCCTCCAGAAGAGCCCAGGAAGTGATGGACATGAGATTCTTGGTTTGCATTTTTTAATCTGTACTTTTCAGAGGTAAGACAGCCACCTGGCCTGGAATTTAAATGGGTTGGAAGGGTTACAGTGAAAATTCTCCATCCCCGCCCACTAGTGCCCAGTCCCCAACCCAGAGGCAGCCAGCGCTCCCATGCTCAGCCACAGAGAGCAAACACTGAAGCATGCTGAAAAGAGAGCTGACTGCAAGCTGGCCTCTCTACCTGAGGGATTATTTTCCAGTTTCTAAGGCCTGTTCTGGCTTTGTGTCCCACCTCTCTGAGCAAGGCAGCAGTCCTGGGCCCAGAGACCTGACCTCCCACAGGTGCTAACACAGCTGTTCCCATCAGCAGAAATTTCCCTGTCTCAGCAGCAGGAAGGTGAAAGTGTGTGAAGGCTTAAGGAGGCTCAATAAAGGCCATGGAGGGCTGCTGTGAAGGCCTAGAAGAGAACAGCCCAAGCAGCCCAGCCCAGGCCTAGTCTCCTCCACAGCAGCAGGCTCACACCAGGGCTGTGAGGTGCACGTCACACTTGACGTGAGGCTCCTCCTAGAGCAACCACCCAAGGGTCAGAAGTGTCAACAGGAGTGGAGCCTCTGCCCCTGGGTGCCCCCACAGATGTGAGTCTGACCAGCTGCCCTGGGCTGAACTGAAAGGTGCCAGAGGCCGGGCTGGGCCAAGGCCTGCGAGTCTCCAGTGTGGGGGACAAGTCACTGAGCAGTTTCCATCAGCTGCCACAAGTGGGAGGGGAGGTCCCTGGCAGGCAGGGGATGTGGTGAGGTGATGTAAGCGATGGCAGGGGTGGGGACTCAGGCTCGGGGAGTGAGGGATGTGCACGAGGGCCCCACAAGAGCGTGATCCCCACAGATGAGTCAGGGCGAGGTAGCTGGGCGCAGAGCCGCCCTTTTTCCTTCCTCATCCCTGCTTCTGCCCATCCTCGACCCCCAAAGGTCTTGACTGTCTAAAGTCATGGGAGGCATCAGAAGTCACTGTGCCACGGCCCCTCCCCCAGCCCCTTGGAGTCCCTGGTCCTGCCCCCTCGCTTGGTCCATCCCATCCCCAAAGCTGCTGCTCCTGTCCCCTCCTCTGTCTCAGTCCTCTCCGCCCTCCCAGCTTTCCACCGCTCCTCATGACCCTCAGTCCCCCACCTGCCTTCCTGCACTGGAATTTTCTCCCTAGCCTCGCATCTGGCAGGGCGCAGCCCTGGGCAGGGAGGGGCAGACGTGCACAGGCAAGCCTAGGAGACAGAGGTCCAGCTCAGAGTGCTTCCAGTCGGAGAGCCATGGTGAGACCCAGGGTGGGGTCACCACAGCCAGGCTCCTCCCCAAGCCTTACACAGCCTTGTTCCTCTCATGTCCCTCCTTCCTGCAGAGTTGCGACACCCTGATCCCTGCCATTCTCTGTCAGATCCCGCCTCCCACCTCCAGAGAGCCAGGGGTCTGGTCCATCGGAGTCCATCCTGACTCGCTGCCTGACACCCCATTAGCCAGATGCCCACCATGCGCAAGAACGCGCGCGCGCGCGCGCGCGCGCGCGCGCACACACACACACACACACACACACACACACACACCCCTGTGGGCGCCTCCCAGCAGTCGGATAAGCTTCATGCTGAGCTGCAGAGGAGGCAGGATTCACCCCAAGACAGCCAGGGCTAAGGAGCCTCACAGGCTGGATTTTCGACCCGGTGGTATCAAACAGCAGAACATCAGTTTTAAAACAGTGAAAACATTTTGTTCACTAACAATAGGGGGCAGAGATGAGCCCCATTCTGTGTGCAGAGGTGACGGGCTTTTTAAAGAGAATGGTAGGAAGCCAGGCGTGGTGGTGCATGCCTATAATCCCAGCTGAGGGGGGCTGAGGCAGGAGGATCGTTGCAAGTTCGAGACCAGCCTGGGCTACCAAGTGAGCTCAAGGCCAGCCTGAACTGCATAGCGAAACCCTGTCTCAAAAAGAAAAATAAAAAAAAGAAAGAGAATGGTGGGTGGAACTAGCAGGGCCTCAGAGGAAGGAGTCAGAGTGTGATCAGGCCAGCTGTGTTTTGTTAGCTGGTAGTTATCTACATTAGAATTCTCTCTTCACAGAGGCTGGGAAAGAGAGACCTTTTCTTCCTGTTGATTATATTTATTTTTTTTTTTTGGTTTTTCTGCGGTACCGGGAACCGAACTCACGATCTTGCGCTTGCCAGGCAGGCGCTTTTGCCGCTGAGCTAAATCCCCAGCCCTTTGTTGATTATATTTAAAGAAGGGTTCACAGGTCCTTGAGAGAGATGCTTCTGCTTGCAAGAGACACAGATTACAGCTGCAAGCTCATTTTTAGTAAATGCAAGGTTGGGGCCTGTTGTCAGGTGCAGACTAGAACACACAGGAACATTTCCCAGCAGCATCAAGCTGTCTGAATCAGGCACTTGGGTCTGGGCTGGGGGACACAGCCTTATGCGGCTAGAGCCATGCTAGAGTTTGGTCAAGGCTTTCAGTGCAGGGCTTTGGGCATAGCTGTCCTGTCCCAAGAGGTCTGCAGTCCCACAGTGCCGTGAGTGCTGCTGTCCCCTGCCCTCTGCTCCAGGGCACCAAGAAGACTCAGGAGTGTGCTGGCTTTACGGGATGAACTTTTCTCCCCAGCCAAGGCCCAGGTCCAGATTCAGCTTGGAGCAAGGTCAAGAGGCCTCTGCCTGCACTTGATGCCCAAAGTAGAGGGAAATCTGTCTGTGTTTAACTCTGTAATAGGGAATAAGTGGGAGACCCTTCTGTGGTCTCTCAGAAATGCAGGGGTTTGTGAGGAATGCTGGGAAGGAGGCAGAAGGAGGAAAGGGGGCAGCATTTTGATTTCTGTTAGCGCCTATCAAGTGAGGAGGCCTTGGCACACTCCCCTTGTTAGACAGAGTTCCAAAGGAAACCAGCAAAGCCAGAACAGGTGTGGCCTTCGTGTCCTGAGCATGCCCACAGTGGCCTGCGCAAGGGGGAAACACAGTGGAACAGCCAGATACTCTCGGGATCGTGGGCGCCGAGAGAATTTATGTTTATGGAGCACCAGCAATGACCAAAACCCTCTATGCAGATCTTACCTCCATCCTTTCATCTGCTCTGTGAAGTAAATGCTCTTTTACAGCTGAGGCAACTGAGGCTTAGAAAACTTGAGTCGCTGGGCTATGGTGGCCCATGCCTGGGAGACTGAGGCAGGAGGATTGCCGAGTTTGAGCCCAGCGTGGCCAACTTAGCGAGATTCTATCTCAAAAGAGGTAGGGGAGCTGTGTGTGTATCTCAGTGTTAACTTCCCTTGGGTTCGATCCCCAGTACCACAAAACTAAAACTAAAAAATAAAGAAAGTTGGTAACTTGACCAGGATTGCAGGTCTTTCAAATACTATAAAAGAGTCTGGGTTCAACCAAGTGTGTATAACTCCAAATGTAAGCTCTTCCCCTGCTTCAGGCTGCCTCTGCTGCTTCGTGCTCGTTTGGTTTTGGCTTTGGATGGCCTTCTTAGTTTCTACAAAGGCAGTGTTGGGGATGGGCAGAGTGGTGAAAGCATTCCAGAGTTTGCTCACCGCGAAGACTTCCTGGACAAAGTCGGTCTTGCCTTTCCCTATATCCAACCGCACTTCTTTTCCCCACATGTTTGCTAGAGTTGTTGTAATTCCTCCAGTACCACTCGCTCCCCTCCCGCAGCCCGGCCCCTTTCTGCCTTCCAGTATGCATCCCATGGTTCCCATGTCAACCTGCTAGAAGCTTCTCCTGGGTCCTTCTGCCCTTGTTCTTTCCCCCAGCTGAGGAACCTCTTCTTTTGACATTGACTTAGGGCTTGACTAGTGTTAAAGTCATAAATGTCCTTATCCATTTCCTAGTAAAGTGAGAACCCCCACCCTGGGCCAGTTATGGATTTTAGACCCTCGTCCACCCTCTCCCCATCCCCCTTGCTGCCTTCCCCACACACAGAACCTTGGCCCGTGCATCACAGAACTGATAGTGCCAAGCTTCCCAAGGGTGACTGAGCTCACAGGCCCAGGGGAACCCACTGGTGAGGACTTCACCCTCCTTCCCTGGAGGCAGGTGTTCTGGGCACCTATGGAAGTCCCTGTGTCACAAGACTGACCTTCTGAAAACTCACTGTCTCCTAGTGTCCATCAGCACTTGACCTGGGTCCTACACACTATACTTCAGCCCTAAGCCACCTTCCCAGTGGCCTGGTGTTTTAGAGAGGATTTCCCAACTGGGCCGTCTGCTGTTGGAGCCATGGCAACCTCTTAGGGTGAGTCTAGGTCTTTCCTATCCTCCCCCCCACACACTCCATTGTTGCATGCAAGGCGCTGAACTCAAGCCTGAGTCATGACTGGTACACGGGGGACATGGGCACAGCGTGGCTTCTGTCAGCAATTCCAGACCTCCTCCTCTCTACTCTGAGTTCTGAGCTTCCATACCCCTCCCTGTCCACTCCCTCCCGCTGCCGCCGGGTCTGGCTGTGAGGACTGGAAAGTGTCCACCCGTGTGACTGACTCACCTGGCCCACATTCCCTGCCCTGATCTGAGATCCCCACGTCTTCCTCCTAACCTTTCACCCAGCCCAGTGGGGTACAGCCTGTCTTGCTCCAACATCCATGGCTCATCATTCATTCATTCATTCCCAGGGCTCCCTCCAGCACCAGCTGTTTCAGAACCCAATTTAATCTTCCTCAGGCACATAGGGTTCCCTGAAACCATCTGCAGTATCTACTTCTGCAGCACCTTTCTCCCCAGCTACACTGTAAGCTCCGTGAGACAAGGGCCCTTGTCACTCTTGTGTACTGCTGTGGAGTGAGCTCTGCTGAGGCGCGGTCATTATCAGTAGATGAGTGACTGGCTGATTTACATAAATGCTTACTGAGCAAAAGGGGTGCAGGCATCTTGCTATATGAAGGGCAGTGCAGCCCAGTTAGCCCCGTTGGGTAGGTCATGGCAGGAGTGGAAGTGGGGAGCTACACCCTGCGTGACGATGAGCTGGGAGGCAAGCCCCGCAGGGCCTGGTGCTGAGAGGTGCAGAGGAGGCACAAGCCCAGGCTGCTCCTCCTCTTCTCAGCCCCAGCTCCGGGCTGCCTTACTCTAGGAAGACCGCCCCACCCCCGATAGGGCAGTTCCCAATTAGGTACACAGCCCTTCGCTCAGATCACATTTTCTTATGTGATCATTTCTGTCATCCAGAAAGTTATACTGGGCAGCCCTACTCTAGGCTGTAAGCTCCATGAGTGCAGGGACTGTGGCTGTCGCGGTCACGGCTGCAGCGCCTGTGCCTAGCTTGGTCCAGCACTGGGGAACTCAGTCACTGTTATGAGGATGAATGGGAGAAGGGCTGAGTCCCCAAGAGGTAGGTCCCTGCTCCCGTGGCAGGTCCCTGTCTTCTGTGTTCATCGACCAGCCAGAGCACCCATCCTTGCCCAGGACCCCATACCAGCAGCCTCACCTTGTTCCATGGCTTCTTTCTCATTTGTCACAGAACTGTGGAGCTTCTGCTTCCTGGCACTAACATTGTATGTGCTCTAAATTGAGAGGCTGAGGCAGGAAGATTGCAAATTCAAGCCCAGCCTGGGCTATTTAAGAATTTAACGAGACTGTCTCAAAATTGTTTTAAATTAAAAATTTTAAAAGGGCTGGAGATGTAGCTTAAAGCAAAGTCTCTGGGTTCAATCCCCAGTACCGAAAAGACAACAAAAACCTGAATAGGATGGCGCCCCCTGGAGTTGTACAGGGGCCCTACCAGCCCACTGCCAGGCAGTACGTTTCTTGACCACATTCCCAGCTCCACCAGTGCTCTGAGCAAGTTTAAGGCAGTAGATCATATTTACACCCACCGTACCAGGCCTGGCTCCTGTAACAGAGACTCCAGTTCTGGTTCAGGAAGTTTTTCCAGCTTTTCAGCCCCATTTCCCGGTTTCTTTTCCTTTATCTCTTTCCCCAGAGTTGCCAGCCTGAGTCAGCACTCACCACACCCTAGATAGGATAAGTGTTTGCGGGACTTCCCCTCTGGGGCCCTCCTGTCTGTTAGCCCAAGCTGGGGCCCTGCCCTCCCCCTGTTCCCTGCTCTTCTGCAGCCAGGAAGTGTGCTTTGGGCACATAATAGCACCACTGGCCGTTGACCAATTTCTTCATCCCCATTCAGAAGGAACTGGGGTACAAGGAAGAGAGAAAGAATCCAAGCATTCAGCCAAATACACAAGGAAGCCCAGACCCTAAAGGAGTGGATAGCATGGAGGATCTTCTTGGGCACTGGGTCACTTTGTTTCCTTGGTCCATCCCAAGGAGCAGAATCTTGCAGAATTTCAGGGTAGGAAGACTCTGGTCCTTGAAGACCAGTAGTAGAGGATTCTACTTTCTCACAAAG